GTTATTGTTTGAATGTGATTCTCTTTCTCTTTTTTTTCTGTACTCATCTCGCCATTCATATATCCTTTTCTTTTTCGTCTTATTATTTTTTCTCTTTTTTCATCATATTTTTTTTTGTCAAACACACTATCTTGTAAATCTTTTGTGCTTTCTTGTATACTTACATCGCTCATACTCCTGTAAGTCAAAAGTTGTGAATGCTTATAGTATGCCTTGTAAGCACATTCAAGTGTCACAACAAAGAGAACGAAATTAAGATAAATATGAATATTGCATTTTTATTGTTTTATGGCAATTATTGAAACGTCGTCAATACTGATTCAGCATTGCTAAATATTAATATAAATCTTTTCTAACTAGCCAAGGAATTTTAGTCATAAATGAAAAAACAGACACATTAAACTACTTTGATACAATAAATAGATAAAGTGGTAAGAGTATATGAAAATCGACATAGTTTAATTAATTCGACATTTCGATCTTCTATGAGATCAGTATATCGGTTATTTCAAAACTTTTGCCAATTTATGTATTGTCTTAATATTTTTGCCTTTCATATTATATTTAATTCAAGAAATTATTTCTCGTGATATTTCTGGGCTCCAACGATTTTTCTAGGTTATGAGTACTATTCGTACAAGTTCGTGTAATTCTGGAAAATGATCTCATAGAAGATCGAAACGTCGAATTAATTAAATTATGTCGATTTTCATATACTCTTGCCACTTTATCTATTTATTGTATTAATATTTTTGCCTTTTATATTATATTATATTTACTTTGAGTACTAGTCAATAGATATTGATGGTTCATTGTATGATTTCTCTCACGAAATTCATTGATGAGAAAGTATAGTAAAGGATATAGAAATCCAGAATTTTAGCTTTCCATGAGGCAATTTTCAATAGATACACAAGTAGCATTGAAAATATACTCAACGAGTTCTAATATATATGTCATAGTAAAAACAGTTTAACTACATTAAATTAAATAATACTTTAAAATTAAAATAAAAGCTTTCTCTGCAACATTGAATATTTATAAGTGTTGTCTGGCAATACTCTTTCTTCTATCGATAGAGAAAACACAACGTAAAGAGTAGGGGAGCGAGAAAAGCGCTGGAAAGATGAGTTAAGAATGGTTGATGAATAATACGCGAATAGAGGTGTTGATATATGCACGCGAAAGAGAGAGAAAAAGAAAAGCAAAAAGGATACAATGACGATACAGAGAGCGGTTGTTTGTAACGATGAAAATATGATTCCTGAATTCGTCGCCATATTTAAGTTTTGTTTTTTTTTGAGTAATTTTTAACATTTTTATGAAGAGTTAACATCTGAAAGGAGGACGGCAAAACATTGAAGACGCAAAGTGTCAAATGGATAAGAACTGGAAAATCAGAAATATCGAATGTAGAAAATCTCAAAGAGCATGAATGGAAAAATTCAAAAAACAGAAAAATGTTGGATAATGATTTGGATTGTTGGAAATTTTTCAATTTTCTATCAATTTGCTTTTGTTAAGTAGAAGAATATTTAGATCGATTTATTCTTGATGAATGAAATAATAAAACGAATACATGAAAAATTTATTATATTTTCAATTCACATACATTGACAGACTTTCGAAGTAGAAATAAACTAAGAAATTTGTGTTTTGTGACCCAAAAAAGACAGTTCTTGTGAATACTCTTGATTATCGATTTCGGCATACTTTTTCAATTTTGCTTTACTTGTGGATAACATGTAGAGTGTAAGTACGGGTTTAGATGTGGTCATGCAGATGTGGATGTTGGTACACTTATAAGAAAACAGACAATATGCACTCAAATCTAGCCAAAAAAGTTTAGGCTTGGTCAATTCGACATAGAAGAGATTAATATGTCGCTTGAAAAATCGTAGTAAGAAGACAACTTCAACTTTGTCTTGAAAGCATCGAGTGCATTATAACATTGCATGACCATGGAAGTGTATAGAGAAATGAAGTATCATCCTTAAACTCATTATATGCTAATAAATATAAGGAAGCAAGAGTGTGAAGTGGGTATTAGCGAATAAATGATATTACTATTTTGCATACATAAAATAATATGTTGTATTGTTTGAGATAATCTTAATAAATGTCAAGAGATGTAACAAATTGTATGCATGAAAAACTAAAAAATAAAGAAAGTTATTATTCATTTTAAAAAAGAAAATTATGAGAAATGCCACTGAAACGTTTTGAGTTCAAAGGAAAACTGAAGCGGTTACTTCATGCTTAAATTGAGTATGAATCTATGTTTGTAATAGATGAAATAGTATGATTGTCAATGAGGATGCGGGCTTTCTGTTCGTTGAACACTGATGCACGTATTACAAAAGAGATATGACATAGTTATGTCATATAAATATATGTTTTTATGGTATGTCGTTAGTATTTTCATAATGTGTTCTTTATCTTTATGCAATAATACTTACTTCTGTTCTCATGAATATTTGTATAAACAGGTTTGATTTGTCTCATGATTGTTTTTGAATAGAGAAAGACAAGAGAAAAAATTCGTATAACATTCATTGGTATATGACATGCACTATAAATATAAGATTTTAATTTAAGATATGAATATATTTTATATGACAAATTATTTTGTCGAAAAAGTTACAGGAGAAGAAAACAGTCATCGATATTGTTTTATTCATTCATTGTTAAGAATGTCACATAGAAAATTATCTCATTTTACTTTATTAGCTCTTCTAAGCATTGAACTGTATGAATTATCTATAGTTGTGATCGAATGCTTATTAAGAAAGACTTAACTAGAAAAATATAAGCAATCAAATAGTATAGATTTCTGTTGAAAGCAATATAAATTAATCTCAATTTTCCAGATCAATAATAATAATTAGAAGTATGTTACAGTCTTCTTCTTTATTTTCGCCCTTCATTCTTCTTTTTACAAAATCGCCTGGAAATAATCCCCTTTCTCAAACACTAACACTGGTTTAAATAGAACAGATACGAGAAGAAGAATGGGATGATTGTAAACGTGATAGAATGAAACCGAAAGGAAAAGAAGAGAGAACATACTTATGGCACGACAGATATCTCCTGCCATAACAAAGTAAAATGAATAGTTTTCATGTGGACTGATATTTTAATATCTATCAATCGTTCAAAAGCTAATATTAACGAGTTTTGAACACGTTCTTGAGAGATATTGAAAAGATGGGTGTGGGTGTAGGCATAGTATTCATGTCATCTTCACCCACCCACCCACACCCCACACCCTCTTGCCACTTTATCTATTTTATGTTGATATTGTTACTATGTTGAAAAATTAAAACTGTCATACAGAAATCTGTTCTATTATGTAGTTGTAACAACGACTAATTGTTTTGTTACTATTTACTAAGGTTGATTCATCAGAAAGAGATGAAGCCTATTATATTTTCTTATTCAAATTTTAATATTTGATTGCATTGACAAATATATTCCAAAGATTGATATCAAATCGAATGAACGAAAAACTCTATACGACACAAATAAACTCAGACGAGCTGACTTGATTCAAATCTGAATGAAAATTGTCTTATTCATCTCAATCTCTGATATAATTCATTGACCTTCCAGCAAGCTTTATATTTATCTTGGGTGTTTTTACTCACTTACCTTTTTGGTGGTGAGAGTTCTCGTACGGAAATATTTGTACTCATCATTTATCAATCAACAATTTTTTCTGGTATTCAAAATAAATAGAATGTGCAACTAGCCGGTGTTTATCACATTAGCAAATTTTAATAAGCTCATATTGAGAAGAACTATAAATTAACTATAGTCGAATAGTCTGATTTAATTATTTATAAAATAAATCAATATCTGTTTTATTTTCATAGGATATAGATGTCGATTTTGTTATTAATCAACCCACTTGATTCAAACATTTAACACTAGGCTATGAAAATCTGTGAAGTTCTAAAATTTCTTCGAACGTTTTCTATATAGTCTCCGATCATTTACTTGCAGTATAGTTCTTTCTAAAGAACTAAAAATCAAACGACTCCTAGAAATTTCTTGCATGCCTTCCTTTGTTGATCATGGTTAATAGAGTTGCCTTCATTTTTGTTAGAAATGACTACGTCGATCGAGATCAATATTCTATCTAATATTTAAAGTTTTACATTCATCAGTCGTACAGATAAGAATACTTCATAGACAAAAAGTTTTGTCTCTCACTTAATCGACAATTGATCTTCGTATGCTGGTTTGTATTGTTTATACAGTCAAATGAGTACCTTCATTTGATGACATTCATCGAAATCCTGATATGAATGATGAAAGCTGAAAAAGGAACATGTCCGATGCGGGCTAACTGTCCACTGACTTACAATCATTCGATGAGTCAATTGGCATTGCATTTTGCCTTATTTATCATTATTGTTATAACAAATCGCATGGCGACAGATAAACAGTCCATTAATATCATAGCGATTGAGTAAGACTAAATGATTTCGACGCACATATATAAATAGAAAACTGAAAAGACATCTATTTTTCAACATTCAAAACACATGCATAAGATGGAATTAGAATTTTTCAATCAAAATCATTAGCATATTAACAGACAGAGGATTGAACTCTATGATACATTGTAAACATGACTAGCTATCAGAAATCAATGTAGTACCCAGCTGCACAGTACTACTTGCAACACAAGTTGCTGATAGTTCGATACACTGATACGTAATAAAAATTTGTAGGCGGCGATTCAGATGGATGCAATATGAATATTTATTCTAATTCGCACTGTCAATTGTTGTTATTTCTATAATGAAATAACTTTGTCTAGATGTTATCCGAGACTTTTGTGCAGTCAAGATTGTTTTAGCTCATGATTAATAACTGTAATATGTAGTATAAATATTATACCAGATAGACGAGTTGTGTTTAAACAGCAATGAATCAGACTTTTGATTCGTTTGTATAAATCACTTATTTATATACATCTCTATGTCTTAGTATCACAATCTATGAACTTCAGCTTCAAAACCTAACTAATCATATTAAAAAAGAAGAATCTTTTTAATAAAGCTAAAAGAATTTAAGAATATAACCAATAAATCTAGTTTTTTTAATTTTACCTCAAGATACATTTTACACTGAACATAAAGAAATACCTAAAAAAAATTCAAAATATTAAATAATAATTCTTTCGAATGATTTTTCTACCAATTCACCAGTAAAACTAATAGCTACAACAATTAATTTAGTCCAAAATGATCGTTCTAAAAAAACAATCATCATCTTAAAATCTTTTAAATAAACTTACGAAGTTTTCCAGCTTTAACTTCTTCTCGTGCTTTTTCAATTAAAACATAAAGTGACCAAAGAACACATGTAACAGCAATTAAATTAAATGCAATAGAACACATTATTTTTCGTCTTTCAATAACATTCATTTCTAATTTTTGCCGCTAAACAAAAAAACAAAACTTTTTCAATCAACAAATACAAAAAAACTAATATTATTTTAAAAACCTGTTTAATTGGTTTTAGTTCAGAATGCATTATAAATTCAAATTTACATAATTCACATGATTTAACACTGGCACTTTTCATCCAACGTTGTAAACATGATTGATGTAAATATTGCATTGTACCCAAACATAATCATGGAGATATTAATGGTTCATCATTAGTACCTTCACAATGACATATTCGATATATATCCGGATAATTACTAATTTTTGAATTTGTTGATGATACTGATATTCTACGTGTTGAGGTTGCATTATTTGATATTAATGATTTTGTAAGAATTGTTTCTTCATTTCATTTGAGTACTGTTGCTTCTTCTTCTTCATCAGTATTTATTGAAGATTTATCAATTAAAAATTTCATTTTCGCTTGAGTTTATTTGATTATCGATATGAGATTGATCGGAAGCCATTACTGTTCGCTATTTAATAAGACATAAATACTTAGGGTTAACCAAAGGTTCTGATCACGGTGTTTAAAATTTTATAAAGTAGTTAATATCGAAAGTTTGTTGCATGAATATATAGTAGAATGCCTCCTCTATAATAATGTATTCGGGAGTGACCAAAAGCTTCGAAAACAAGAAATAAAAATATAAAAAGAAATAATGCCTCATTCACCATATTCACCAGATCTTGCACCATGAGAGTTTTGGCTAAATGGTTATATCAAGAGCAATTTGCCTGATCAAGCAAAGGAAGAATCGCTAGTTCAGGAGATTTTCAAAGTAGGGAAAAATATTGCAGAAAAAGAGTTTTAAAAACTTTCTAGAAACGGTTAGAGAGGATGGAACTTTGTGTAAATAATAATGTTGACTATTTTGAACATTTAATAAAATAAAACTGAAAGCATTTCTTTCTTTTTATATTTTTATTTGATGTTATCGGAACTGTTGATCAGTCCTCAACACGCTGTTGTAGACGAGGCACTCTACTATGTATTCATACAATAAACCTGTCGATATTTTTAGAAAATTTTAAACATCGTGATCCGAACTTATGGTTAACCCTAAATAAGATTTTATCAAAATAGGTTATTTATTTACTTGAAAATATCACTAAATAGCTCTTATGAATCAGTTAAATAGTAAATAAATGACGAGTTAATGTGACTCGACTCCACTATTCTTGATTGTTACGACTAAGAGGATAAAAAATATTCGAAGTGTATTTTTTCACGTAGGATTGGGCTTTATGACGCCATTTTAATAAACAATACACCCTCTCGTCAATGATTATGACAGATATCACTAATCAAATAGGAAATTAACGACATTTGTAGAAATAGCATAACAAACTTAATAAAAATAATTTTTTTATTTTTCATAGCGTGAGAAATAACCGCTATTTAACTTTCAATCCTCATCATCGTCAAGGTAAAGACGATCTAAGGAACGATATACACATGTTTCTGATCTTAGTTAGGCAGGTGGATGAATGCTCCAGGCTACAATATAGTACTAACTAGTTTCCAATCTTCATTTTCATTAACAATAACAGTGATTTATAGATGGAACTATAATCCAGAAAATTTGTTCGATTAAAACATGTCTATTGCAAATTAACTGATGGTAGAATGGAATTCGATATCAACTTATTTTCTTTTCTCTTCTTCGCATCATCTATCACTCAACTTTTCTATCTTGACAAACGCTCATTTCGTGAAAGCAACCAACACAACATGAATCTTCAATCTTTTTTTTACACACAATTCAAATACTATACATATCTAATTTGTTCATAAATGACTAGGATAACATAATCAACCGCTCGTTTTCGTTTCAATTTCATGCTGTGTAACTGAAAATCTATTTAGTTTTCTATGCATAAATACAAATAAACAACAATGTAGAACAACTTAATGTATCACTTAAACAAGAGAAAAGAAAAGAATTATGTTTTGAACCATTTTTTTTGTGAAGAAAATAAATCGAATGATAATGGACGGTTTTTAAGACTTAGATCAAGTGGAATATTTGATGAATATGCTGAAAGCAGTTTTCCTGATCAACGATTTCGTGATTTTTTGGTAATGGTGGACATATTTCACCAAATTGTGATGTTATTTCGTCAAATATTGATTGATCATTTAGATTATTTTCATTTAAATATGATGATGACGAATGTGATAATGGTGGAGTTAGAAGATTAACTATTGAAATTGAATTTGATAATTCACTTGAATATGATGATAATGATAAACAAGGTAAAATAACTGATGATGATGATGGTGGAATTAATGAACAAGTTGAAAGTATTTGATCAATTGTTTCACGTTTAATTATAGTTGAAGATGATAAATATGATAAAGTTTTTTGTTGTATTGATGATGATGATGAACATAAACAATGATCAAGTGATGTGATTCGATTAAATAATGTAAAACGAATTGGAATATAAAATAATGATGTTGAAGTTTTTAATGTACTCAGAAGATCTGAATCTTTCAATAATCGATCATTTGAATCATAAAGTGGAACCTAAAGAAAGGGATGATGATGGTGAAAAATGGAATGGAATGTTTACTCGTATCATAGAAGAATGTGGTAAAATTTATTGTATATATGATCGAAGAATAGCAATAGGCATTGAACTTTGACATTGAAGATAACGATGAGAAAACTAAAAAGAGAAATGAAAAGAAATGAAGAAATGAAAGAAGAGTAATATGATGGAATAGATACATCATTATTTGGTTTTGATTATGAACCACTGAAGAAAAATGTTTTTATATAAAACAACAAGAAATAGTCGACACGATATACCTGTATTTTGTATCTAATTCAATATAGTCATTCCCATCATTCTGTCGTTTTGTTTCCGTTACTGACATGGATCCTTCCATGTTTTGCTCTAGAGGAAAAAATATATGAAATGATCATGCTAATGTTAATCGATTTCTTGGTTGTTTTTTTATATACTTATTATCAGTAAAAACATTTCGGATCAGATGACTGCATATATTTGTGTATAACTTGTCGACGACGTTCAGCTTCATTTTGTTTGTTTAATATTAATTCTAAATGATATAATAAACAATTAAGATCAACAGGAAGAATATTTACTGTTATTATTGTTCATAAATCTTTTTCATCTTCCATTCATCGAGAACTAAAATCCCAACTCGTTTCAGCAGCTGCTCGAAGATAAACATAAATATTTGTATTATTCTTTTTAGTTGTTGTTTCTATAGCTTCAACATATGCTTCTGGTCCTGGTCGATCATATAATTCATCATAATATCGATATAAAGTGTTCCATCATTAAGTGTAATACTTCTTTTTGTCATTCAAAATTGTTATTCTTTTATTCTAATTCATTCTTATATTTGTCTGTTTTATTAACTAAATCAGTCATTAATGAAAACAATGGTGGTTGAGATCGATCTTCATAATAATATTGATTACCATTTGGAATAAATCCAATTTTCGAATTAAATCAGTAAAATTATCTAACATATTATTTATTAATTGTGTTTCATTTGATCAAAGTAAATCTAACATAATAAAATAAGTATCCCAATAATAAAATTCTCTAAAATGTTCACCAGATACAACAAATGGATGTTGAACATCAATAAATGATGAAAAATTTTCATGTTTTGTTGTTGATGTTAATAATGGTCATAAACGATGGCAATGTTCTTCAATTATCCATTTATCAGGTACAACTGTTGTTGATTTGATAGAATAAAATTCTTGGAAATAAATGAAGTTAAATTAAATGTTGGTTTAGTCAATTCTTGTTGATGTAAATCAAGAATATCATTTGCACTAAGATTATGTGGAATAGCATCACAAAATGTTTTTGGATCAGAAAATATACATTGCATTTGTACGGCTTCGAATAATTCATAATAAAATTGATCGGATATGCTAAAACAAAACTAACAAACATAAATACATTATAACTGAAATAAACAAACATATACATACCTCTATTTACAACAGGATAAAAAATTTATTGTTTTAAGACTGGCATTTCTTGTTGTTCAGCATCAATATTTTCATCATTGTTCATTCCATTATCATATTCGATATTAAATTCAATTGTTCTTTCACCAACATAAAGATCATCTGCATCGTTTGTGTTATAACCTATTTCTATTTCTAAATAATAATGACCAGTGATTTTCATATTTTCTTCTTCATTATCTGTTGTTATTTCCATTAATTTTATTGTAAATGTTTTTGATTCATTTGGTTTTATAATAACATAATCAGGTAATAAATATGGTGTTGCACGACAACGTTCTCGTAAACCACTACATGTCCAATCATAATCATTTATAGGTAAATCAACACTGAACATTTCACCATCATCTTCAAGATATTTGTATAAATATGCACGTAAAGCACCGCAATTTTGAGGAAGATCTGGATAAATAATATCATCATTGGTATCATTTTCGAGTGTTATTTCAGCAAAAATTGGATGGATTGGTGTTAAGCGATATGTTTGATATGGTTCTGATCTTGTTTTCTTCGATTTTTGTGTACCATTTAAATCAAGATATAAACGTTCAATTTTCTTTCTTGATCTTTTAATAGAAACACCTGATTGTAATTGTTGTTTTTCTTTTCTGGAATAAGCATTAGAATTTTCATCATCATAATTTACTTTGTCCAATAAAAACGCACATAAATCATCTTCAAGATCAATTTTTTCACCATTGTTCGTAATAAATGAATAAATAGTTTTATTGATCTTAACCACACGACCACCAATAACGTGCTTTTCCCAATAAAAACCAGATTCTACTAGTTCTGGTGGAGTTTTTTCATTTTTTGCTTTTGACCATTTATCATTTAGTAAATATTTGTGTATTTTATGATGTATAAATTCATGACAAATAGATATTACTAAACGTAATTTTGCTTTGTTTAATACCATTGGTTGATTGAAGGCATTGATACAATCTTCAAATAATTCTTTATTAATTTGTAATATATAAGTATCATCTGATGATTTATAAGATATACCATCAATTGAACAATACTTCAATCTTTTCTCATCAACAGTAATTTCAATCACTTGCATTCGTTCAATAATATGTTGTATAATGTCATTTTTAGTATCATTAGCTTTATCACATTTTTTTAAAATTTGTAATGAGCGTTCACTTAATAAAATATACGGCACAAGTTGTAAAGATTGGTTAATTAAGTCATTATTTCGATATACTTGATCAACCGTTGGTGCCAAACGTGGAGGAACAATATGTGTTGAGAATATGTTTTGTAATAAACTAGTTGAAGTTAATGGTAAATTTATATTTGCAGTCTAAAATAAAAATAAAGTATAACAGATTATTTAGATTTAGATTTAGATAAAGAAGTGGTCTCAAAATAATTGCACAAGATAATGTATTGTGCAAACATATAATTAACTATATGCTACGATCTCAATATTCAATCTAAGAAAACAAAAACTAACTTGAATTTGTTGTAAAATGAGCATCATACGTTGACCAATAACTGAATTAACTTCAATCGATGATTTAGCAAATGCATCAGTAAATAAATTAATCACATTACATATATTTGAATTATTTTGTCCAATAATAATCGGATTATTTCTAAAATAAAATCTTCATAAAAATACTTTAAAATTTCTCACACATACGATTCAATTAAATCACATAAATAATCATAAACATATGGTATTTCTTCTGTATCTTCATGAATTGGAAGCCAAGAAAACCAAACTTGATGAAGCTATCGTAAAAAAAAGGAAATAAATTGCGCTTTTTTTAAACAAAAAAATATTTCTTTTACTTTATCAAGATTATCAACATATGAATTATTATATTTAAATATTTTTGTAACTGCACTAATTGCATTTTCAGTTGCTGTATTATTTTCTGTTGAACGACTATCTGATACACTAATAAGAGTAAATAAAAGAGGTAATGCTTCAGCACATGCATGTGCATAAACAGGACCACCATTCCTTCCCATTACACCAAATCCATATGCAGCAGCTTGACGAATCTATAAAGAAGATATATAATAATAATAATAATAATAAAGAAATAAAAATTTACTTCAGGTGATGAATCAGCAAGACTTTCGGCCATACGTGCAAGAAAAAATTGCGAATAGCGATGTGAATATGCACCAGTAAATTGAATTACATCATCAAATATACATAACGCACATTGACGATCAGATATTGAACGTGTTGGTTGTATAAGAGCATTAAAATGTGGTACTAATGTATCAAAATAAACCAAATATGAATCTTTATATGTTATTAAAAGTGAATGAATTATATTCGATAAACGAGTTAATATATATGCATCACAAGCATCTTCTTCAACCATTTCTTCTTCGGTTTCTTCATCATAATCTTCATCATGTCGTTTTTCAGCACGTTCATTTGACCGTTCAAAATGTTTTTTAAGATGATTATCAAGAATGATTGTTAATTCTTTTAATTCATTTCCTGTTAAACTTAATACACCTAATATTTCAATACACTAAATTCAAAAGACAAATATCGAATAAAGAAATTTATTTATTTTTTCTTTTACTTTGCTTAATGATAAAAATAATTCACCAAGTACTTCATGATCAGATTCAATTTCAATTGCTTTAAATAATTCTTTATTCATATATTGCCATAATTGACAAGCATAATCATTATCACGTAATTTAACACAATCAAGTAAATATGGTAAAGATTCAGCAGCCACAGTACGAATACCTTCAAAGATTATAAATCTTGTTTTTTTAATTTTATCTATTGAAATAAAAACCTTTTACCTTTATGAAAATTAAATCTAAGAAGTGGAATCATTAATTTTGTTGTTTCTTCAACATAATTAACAAAACCTTCTTTTAATTCTTTAGCACAACAAACAAGCATTGAACAAGCACTTGCTTTTTCTTCAAGACCTGTTGTCTTTAATAAAAGAACAAAAAATTTCTAATCAAATTTAAAAATTAAATATTCATACTTGATCATCAACATTAAGTTCTTCCCAATTATCATCTTCTTCAACATCAGTGTCGTTGTCAGCAAGTACTGTTAATTCAGGTTGAAATGTAGCTACTTTAAGAACAGGTCCCATAACAATTGGTAGATATTGTTCAAAATCTTTGCCTAATATTTGACATATACGTGTCCAAGCACCAATGAAATATGATATTTGTGGATCATTATATCCTAAATTTTCAAAATCAACTTGAGTTTTAACGAATTCTTGCATTATTTCATTACAATCATTAATACACTACAACAAAAAAAAAGTATTTTATTGAGATAAACAGAACATAAACACAAACTTTTTCTTTGCCAACAGCTAAACCAATTAAACTAATACATTCTATTGTTTTACCGCGTAATATTCGATAATCAGGTGTAATTACATTTTCAAATAAATATTTCAATTGTGGCATAAATCTTAAATATAAAACTCAATTTGTTTATTTTTCAAGAGAAGAAAACAAAATAAGCTAACCGATCGTAATAAGGTGAAAAATCTTGTGCAACTGTATCAGCAATAGCTGCAAGTGTTGTTACCATTTGTTCAAGAACTAATTTACGATTATGTTGAACCAGCTATTTAACAAAAAAGAATTTATTAAAAAAGAAAATAGATAAAAATAAATTACTTCTTCATATTTTCGATTTAAAACTTGCTCTAATTTTTCAATAATTTGTGGTAAATGTTCAACAAGTAAATGTGATGGACAACCTTCAGCAAAATTAACTAATGCAGCACCACCATGAGCTTGCGTTCGAGGATTTTCATAATCATCAAGTATTGATAATAAACTAGGAATTATTTTTGAATGAAATTTTTCTTGAAATTTTCCTTGAAAATCTGTTGACATTTGTCCTAATACATTACAAGCTGCATATCGAACACGTGGATGCTAAAAGATGTTTTAAATGAAAATATATCAGAATAAACTTAAAAAATAATAATACCGAATCTTTGAGAAAAACCAAAACGCCATCAACAAGATTATCAAGTAATACTGATATTTCTTTATGAAAACCTTCAGAAATAGTTGATATTGCCATTAAACCAGCATAACGATAGCGCCAATCAGCTATATAATTAATTCATTTTAGTTTTTTTTTCATCTTTATCCAATAAATTACTCACGATTTTGAAGCATTGTTCGAACAGTTTTTAATATATAATTAAATATTGTTTTTCCACCAAGTGCACAAGCAAGTCGATCCAATGATCTTTCACCAATAAAAGCATTGCTGAATATAAATGAATATTTAGAATATTCGATATGAGAAATTAATTTACCGATTGTCTTCTTCATCTTCAATTGTATCTTTTATTGACCATTTCAAATCATCATTCAAATCGACCATCATGTCAAGCAATTGAGAAACTTAATTATTTAAAAAATAAAAAATAAAATTTTATTTTATTTTTACCAAGTTCATCTAAATATTGTTTTTTAACTTTTCGAACCATTCCACTTGCTGTTTCTGATAAAGTAATAAGTACTTCAAGAGCTAAATGACGACGTGATTCTTCAAATTCACCTTTTTTTTTGATAGTCTATCAAATAAAATTATTAAAACAAAAATACAAAAACATCCCATCAAACTAACTTCAAGACATAACTTAAAAATATTATCAATAGCAGGTCGAAGATATTTTGCAGTATTTTCAGCAATATTAATCAATGCTTTAAGAACTGTATCATCATTTGAATCAGTCAAACTTTGTGTTATTGTCTAAATAAAAAAAAACTTCAATTGAAATCAAATAAATTCTTTTTTCTTTTTTGAATTTCTAGCACTTGGTTCGAAAATTTCTTCTATCCAATTAACAAAATAATCCTTTGAGAAAAAGAAAGAAAAATATCTAAATATACCGAAATAAGACATGGTAAACAATCTCGATAGATATTAAGTAGTTGTGTATTTTCACAATTATGTTTAAGATAAGCAGCAAATGATGTTGCAGCTGTATAACGAACTTTTGTATCTTGATCATTTAAACAATTGAAAAATATTTGGTGAATTATTTGTGTTAATTGTTCAGCTTGATTACTAAATATTTCTGGAAAAACTCTAAAGGATATTCAATGGGAAAAAAAGAATTTTTTTGATTTCTAAATAAATTAAATTTACTCAAAAATAATTAAAGCAGATTCTTTTAATTTATTAAGTGATGAATTAGCAGATTGAACAAGAAATTCAATAATTTCTGGCCATTGTAATTGATTATTTTCATCTTTAATTAAAAATAAAAATTCAATAAAAAGATCAAATTGTTTTGTTATTTTTTTTATACCTATTGAATTTCTAGCTAATTCAGCAGCAATAAAACAAACGTTTTTTCGAACAACTTCATCATCATCTATTTGTATTATTCGATCGAGTAACTGTCTTTTTAATGTCATTTGTTGATCAGGAGAATATTTTGGCCAAAAGTTTCCAAATTGTCTTCGAAATAAACGTCGAAGCATGACAGCAGCAAATGATCGAATCTTAATTAAAGAAGAACTGTTTTTTTTTTTATATAAATTATTTATCTTACTTGTCCACTTAGTGCTATGTTACACAATGTAGACATAAGTAGAATAGCTTTTTTTTCATCAGGTATATTTTGATAAATTGCCTAATTAAAAAAGAAGAGAAACTTAGAGATTATTAATGTAAATGTATAGATTAACCTCGGCAGCTGTTCGTTTTTCATTATCATTTTGTAAACATTTTTCAAGTGTAGCAATAAATACTTGTTCTTCTGACGAACTTGTATTTGGTGTTATTATCATTTTGATAATGAACAATTAAGTAAAACGAGTAATAGAAGAAAGAGATACTAGTGTAGTTTAGACATATGAGAGAACAGACAGAAAACATATTGGTCGAAAAAAACAACCAACGATAAAAATTAATGGAAAAGTAACGAAAAGAACGATAAAATATATAGATGACAGTGACGTGCAATGAAATAGTTCATAAATTATGTGATTTTTTTTATTGAAAAAAACTCTAATAACTTTACAAAAAAGTTATTAGACAGGATAAAGTTGAGTAATTTGGTCTACAAGATGTTTCAAAGGGAACTCTCCAAATTTTTGACGTCACATACATTCTTGAAGATAAGATTTTAACATAACTCGATGAATACCAAATGATTTTTTTGTTTGCACTTCACTCGCATCCAACTATTTTCAATATTTTGTGTATGTACTTCCCAGTGAAAAATATTTCTAAAAATAACGGAAGAGAACTCATTCATAAAAATGTAGAGACTTGTCTTTTACATGAAGAATGTGTTCTACAGCTTAGCAAACGTTTTCACAAACAAAAAGAAAAGTTCTGAGTCTAAAGGAACTCATTTTTTACTGTTTCACACTAGTACGGAATGCTTTCTTCTCAGTTCAAAAATCGTTCTCTACTTAAATAGAAAGCGTTCTGAACCGTTCCATGAGCCAATAGAACGTGTCTCTGCCCATTCTATTTCGAGACAGTCGAGATAGGATTCCATCGAAATGAGACCGCTTCTTTTAACATTCTCTTCAGAAACAACTTGGAATGGATTCTTTTGACTGATGAACGCTTTCATCTGAATTTAACGTCACTTTTGATTCAAAAATGACAGCTCTGAAGTACGATACCCTGAAACTGGTGCCAAAAATGGTGAAACCTTCAATTAGTCATACTTTACAACTGGCAGTTCTGATTCCAAAAATTTTTTTTGTTTAATAACAGTTTGAGCTGCGAAAAATTAGAACACTCCATTGGATAGAGCTTGTCGAGTTGCACCAGAGTCGATCTTTCAAAAAATTATGTCTGAACTTCTCTTCGAGAACTCTTATAGTGAATCTAAATTCAGGCAATAACGATCAATAATGCGTTCCAAAAAGAGTTAGCTTTTTTGAGAAAAGAAAACGTTCCAAAAAAGCTGAAACAGTTAAGAACGCATTCCAAAAACCATGGAATGTGTTCTTAATGGTTCGATTTTGGAACGCTTTCCACTTTTGTTGGAACGTCTTCTTTTCTTAAAAAAAGGGCTTTAAATTTTACGGAACGCGTTCTTTCCCGTTCTTTGAAGCAAATATTTTTCACTAGATTTTGTTCTTGGATTCACGACGTGAAGAGAATGATTTACAGTTAAATGAATGTACTCGGGATCATCAGCAAGTCTTTTATAACCTTTCCATTCATCAGAATGTATGGTGGTGCCTATAATAATTAGGTTTTGTAAATTATTATTACAATAAGTGGTCCCTCACCAGGTAATATATATTGTTGAATAATTGGTATCAATATTCTACCTGGTTGGGGTGTGGATGAGTGGGTGTGCGTGTGGTTACTGTCGGAGGGAAGAACTACAAACTCACGCCCACATACACACCCACACCTTTTTCAAAATATAATGATTGAAATTACACTTACCGTGTTATCTATTTTTGATATTGTATAGAAAATCCTTTTCCCATGAATAACTAATGTCGATAAATAGTTTCAACATCCATCAAAGAGAGTAAAGACAATCATCAAAAGTTTCGAAATTGATTTTGAACTTAGATGAAGTCAAATAATTGCAACTTGTTAATGGAAACATAAACATACAAACCTGCAACTTCCGATCATGAAACAATTGACAAAAATTCAAATTAATTAATTGTTTGCATAAAGATAAAATCGATACAAATACATTTGACGGTGTTTCAGAGAATTCTGATGTTGTTGTCTGCTTCTCAATGTCTATTTCAAGATGTGTGATTTGTTTAATGAGAAGATCATGAAGAATTGAATCACCTTTGATTCGAGAAAAAAAAAGACAATTATTAATTTACGTCAAACAAATTCATTTTTTTGTTAGGTAAAATGAAGAAAACAAATAGTATACCTGTTAAATATTGAAAAAGCATTTCTTCTTTAAAATTAACACGTGATAACAAGTGAAGTTGAGGATAATTGACAGCAAGAAGAATAAGTTTCATTGAATGTGGTTCCAGAATGAGTTTATTTATTTGTTGATGAATTCGAGGTAAGATTTTTTCACAAATTCTATTAAGAACCTCATTGTCTATTCAGAAGGTACGATCAAAACACGATACCGTAGTCATATCAAGATGATGTATATAAAAAGGATCGAGTAACAAGGGATCAAATCGTTTATTAACATCCACAAGTGAATAGAGAACATCAGCAGTATTCAGTTTGTTCGAAATGTTGAGTAATATTTCATTCGGTAAATCCAGTATATTGAGATGATTGTTATTTGCAGTGTCCGTGTCTGATACGAATTGTCTTGTTCATGTCAATTTATATGTCTGCATTTTCTCATTACTGTCTATGAGAACGATGAAAGAAAACATTCATATCTTAGTATTAGGTCATGATGAATGGCTGATGGCATTTTTCTTGTCTTCTAACTTTTTTCATTGTTCACTCGTAGTCCACATGTCAGGCCACGGTATGGATGTTGGATGTCCGTACCCACACCCACACCCACAAGTACTTTTCAATAGCGACTAATTTTGTTAGAGCTAATAACACTACTCAAAAGGTAAAGACTGTTGATGTGGCAAGTCATGCCTTTTGATATCATTTTGATGCAATCATTCAATTCTCTCTATTAGCAAAATTTATTATAACAAGATGCTCAACTTAGACGAGTGAACTGTAAGTGAATGAAGAACAATGTCTATTTTGAGAAGAATATTCAACATTCTACATAGTATTTCAATGTGTATCCCTTTAATATTTTTTATAAAACGTTTTCAGATTTCGCTAATCCACATTGATTTTTGCCTTCAGTGTGGATGATCCACAATCTATCAAAGATGTTACTGAAAAACGAATACTAGAAAAACAACATTGTAGTGGGCAATTTTCCGTAATATTAATAACTTGTAGGACAAATTCTGAACTAATTTTGATCGTAAGGCAAAGGAACATGAAATTAGTGTCAAGTAAAGTTGAGCGAAAGTAACATCAAAACTTCTGGTGAAAGTACACAAGAATCATTTGTTCATACTACCCATGTATCATGAAACATATTGACAAATATATTCTCCAATGATTATAGTGTGTGAGTGTTAGTTTTCTTTACTCGTATATTTTCATTCAATAAAACAAGAAAATATTTTTTTTATACATTGGAATTCTTCGGTAACTTTTCAATATGTTCTAAACAAACGACCTCTTTTTACTTTTAATCATCAGTGTCAAAAATGCCGCCAATAAAAAAGTATTGATTGTTTTGGCACAAATGCAACGCAGTGAAATCCTACTTCTATTTTGATGTTTATCTTCCTTTATGTGCCCTTAGTTGATGAATAGCCATATCATTGATGTCCATGGTGGCGCTGCCGCTACCGCTACCGCGATGGCGGGAGCGGCAAAAAACTTTTAATAAGGCGACGTGGTAGATTTTTTTAAATACTATAATGGCAGCAGTTGAACTTTTGGAACATTTTTTCCATTTTTTTCTGAAGGAATCCATAGTACTTGAGATTATTATTCTAATGTAATTTGAACCAAGGAGAATTTTTTTCAGCCTACGCAGTTCAATGTTTCTGTCATCAAACATAAACAAACTCTGTACTACCACACGACTGAATGATGATGATATTTCAGAGCGTGTTAATAAATGTTGCTGAACACATATTTGATTTGATTTTACTTGACATACGTACCGATAGTTAATTTCAGATACCCCTATAGTAATTTTATCATTGTTATGATTTTCTACTGATAAATGCTGACCTATTCTTACTCTAAAGGTTCGTTTACCTCATGTGCACTATAAGCAACATTGATACACTTCTTTGTAAACTTTTAAACTGCAAATGTAACAATATGTTTATTTTTATTGATCATACTTTTTTCATGTTAGACCAACGTGTGTTTCTTCTAATTACGTCAACGTTAATGAGTTTTTCTAGTCACAAGTGTATTAGGGTTTGTATTTAACGCATGCATTAAATCGTGAAGTTCTTTAAGCCCCACTATTCGACGAGTTTTACGATTATTAGAATTTCTTTGCTTGATTTATAAATTTTACTGTGATATACTACTTAAAACATTATACATATAGATAATGTGTATGCATATTAACAAACTTATTACAGTTGGAGCAAATAAACTGTACGTATACTTTCTATGTTTTCTCATTAAATTACTAGCAAAACAATCGAATTCAGAAAACACGATTATTATTGTTGGCTTCATAATTGAAGATGAAAAATGATCAGAAAATATCAAGTTTTATTAAACTTTGTAACAAGTACGACACTTATGCATAATATCATGTGTCGGCTAGATTTTCTTGAAAGCTAAGTATCATTCTATGAAGTTTTATAATAACAGGAATAAAAGATGTTCAGAAGTTCTGGTAATAGCTAGAAATTAGCAATTTCTATTTTTGCACATTTGAGTGACTACATGAAAGAGAATGTTCAAAGGAATATGTAGTTTTTGTTTTAGCATACACGATTGAAAAGAGGTTATCGTGAATCTCATTAGCACGATATGAATGCATCGTTTTATTTTGTATCTAAAACCCTACTCTACATTATCTCACCCATTTGACATCATAGTCTCTGCCAATTATAAACTTCTACCACTCTTATTTTATCCTGGTCTAAAATATCAGTTGAACAAATCGGATGAGACTACCTGATTTGAGCGATATATCTCTTTCAATATAATCTAAGATCCCATCTTCTTGTATGTCTTTTGACTACTAACTGCATGTTTTCAATACAACCAACGATTTAGTAGATTCATTTTTATCACCCATTTTCTTTCATGAAAAATTAATAATATTTTTGTTTCTTACTTGGGGGAACAGGTTATGGTTTCGAATACGTTTTTAATACCTCCGCGGCAGCGGCGCAGTAGCTTTTCCCTTTCATACCATCGCGGTGCGATAACCGGGCGGTATCAGCTTTTGAAAAACGATCACGGTACGGCAGCGGTGGACTTTCAACCGCAATGGACATCTATGCGAGAAATTCATCTGCATCAGTCTTTCGGCAAAGTAGTTATGTTCTATGATAGACTATATTTATCATCTTAGTTAGTTATTTTCCATCGTCTAAATGAGATACTTATACAGTAAATTATTGGATTACTGATCAATGGCAGACGATATAAATCATCCTCATCTTCTTCATAAAGACACACTTCGAATGTACAAATGGTAACTTGCAAATCAGAAATATTTGGTATAGTTAGAATTTCTTATTACCTATAATTTTTATTCGATTAGTTTATTGATTAAGTTTCTCGACCTTTGAAAATGACAAAGTCGTAGTGGTCTTTCATCTTTCAATAGTTCATAATCTCTATTCTTCAATTAAAAATTATTTCACAGAATATATCAGTAACCATATTTTTGCCATAATTTTTTGTCTCGAAAACAATACTTGCTACAACATGATGGTTATAACAAAGTGTGTATCATACAATTCTAATCTTTATTTTGCAAAACTTGATAAAAAGTAAAAGAAAAAAAACCATTATTAGTCATTGTCTTTGACAATATGCTTTTAACTTCTTTTATTTTGACGAAATATCAATAACATTACTATTCGATTCATCTAGAAAAAGAGTACGAAATATATCATCCATAAATGTTGGATAATATGAACACGCTCGTTCAATATCAGGCATAAAATTCATTTCTAATAAATATGGTTGACCACTTTCATCAAGCATCAAATCAATAGCGTACATTGCACGTGATCGATGACATGGTAACATACCACATGGTGGTTTTTTCAATATGGCACGTTCAAATATTTGACGAATCATTGAAAATATTTTTTCCTGCAAAATATTCAACAAAAAAGAAAACGAACTTCAACTAATCATTCTCTATTTTTATACTTGAACATTAGCCCAGGTAAGATGTTGTTGTTGTTTATCAAATAAAGGTATAAATTCTTCACACGTAATCTTTTTCAAATTTTGTGCATATCGGTAATTCATAACCGCTGAAAAAAAATTTTGTCGATGAAAAATTTAATTTTAACGGATGGCTCATAAACAACGGGACCATATGGTTTTCCATTTTTGAAGAACGGGAACACTGTTCAAAGGCACCATTCTAAACTCATTCAATAGAAAAGATTTCTCTCTACAAAAATATAGATTTCGTTTTTCTAAATAAGTTTTTCTTGTTGACGAAAAATTGGAAAGATTGATATGTGATTCACTGTCCAACTACAATCTTTCGCTATTTTCTGTACATATTTAACGATTTGTGCAAGTTTGTGTTCGTCAAATCCGATGCTAAATGTAAATCATGAGATACAGAATGTTTTGTTCTACGCTTCCAAGACCTTCTCAAAGCTTCTAATTATATCTTTCAGTTAGAAAAAAGCTTGGACCTAACATCTGGTAGTATGTTGTTTTCAATGCGTTTTCAATAGATACCATACTCTATGAATGATTTATCATCGGATGGAAAATTCGATTCTGAAGAGAATGATGTGACTTTTAAAACGAATAACGAAAATCTTGAGATTGTCTTCAATGACAAAGATATGTATGAAAGAATCTATTGCGTCATTCTTTTTAATTTTGGCTTAACAAACTGTTCTTCCAATGATGTTTTTCTAAAGTTATGAAACATTGGCAAGATGCAGTATTTCATGGTGTAGTTTGCAGCACATTTTTGAATTTTGGTGAAACTGTTATTTAATCATTTTTTTAATAATTGTTTTGTTTCCTGAGAATATCAGTTTAATGATAGTGACTGTCGATTTTTTACAATTTTTTCTATGTGAGGAGAAGAACAAACTCGATGGTTTTGTGGTGCGAAAAATTCTCTATCGAATCAGCTTAGAATGGTGTCTTGAAACTATGTTTCATTCTTCAAAAACAAAAATCTCAAAATATACCATTCCTTATAAACCACCCGTTAATTACTTACTGAAATGAACTTGATAATCATCATAATTATTATCTAATGAATAGGGTCTAAAATGAATTAAATAAATATTCAGTAGAAATCGTCTTTATTCTTTACTTATTTGCAAAACGAAGCCAAAATTTTTCATAAACATAAACTTTTAATGGTTCTAACGAACGTAATAAAACAATATAACGGATGTCAAATTTAACTAAACCACTATCTTCACGATCAAATAATAAAGGCTTATTGATATATTTGCAAACAATCTAATGTAAAAATAAATAAATTTCTCTCTTCGGTTTTCGATTTGAAATAAATTTAATATTTTACTTTTGGGCCTGATTCAGCTAATCGAATAATAGAATTGAGATTTTTCGTTACATGTGTATCGATTGATCGTGCTAAATTAAATGGTTTAACAATCCAATGATTATCTAAATTTCTATTATTAAATTCAAAACAATATTTTAATTGAAAAACTCTTGTAAAGACATAAAAACAAGAAATTCCTTACTTTTGTTCTCGATGTTGAAAATATGAAATAAATTTTGGTAATTCATATGTTAAATTAAATGTTGTTGGCAACCATAATGGATATGATTGAAGTGTTTCATTATCAATTGATAGTGATGTTCGACGACAAATAACAGCTAAAAGATCTTTTATATTAATTACATTTTCAAATGGATATTGATTTATTAATTGTTGAGTATTTTCACATAAATTTCTAAGAAAATAATCAATTGACAAAATAATCAAATATTGTTTCTTGTGTTTTAATATTTACTTGAAATCTTTAAAATGTTTTCTTGTAAAAATAATATCAGCTTGAGATGAATCTTCGACTAATTGAAAACGTTTATCAATCAAATGATTCTGAACAAGTTCAATGTCAGTAAAAACATTAATTGTTCGATTGAGTTTAGTTAAATCAACTATACGATAATTATCAGATGATGGAAGACTTTCATTTTCTCGCCCTGTCTAGGTAATATTAAAAAGAATCAAGTATAATATGGTTCAATAAATGAAAAATACTTATAAAGAATACATTAAAATATTGTTCATTGGGTTCTGTTTGTTGATAATCAATATCATCTGACAAATCATCATCAGTCCAAGGTACAAGTTTAGCACGTCGAGTTACTTCATCATGCACTCCATAGGCATAGTCAACAGTGATCGATTCTAAAAATATTATGTTAAAATTTGATTTGTATTCTATATAGTTTTATAGGAAAATAAAACAATAAACAATAAATGGCCTGAGATTTTCTGGACTAAATATTTGATTATTTTTCGTATATTTAAATGCATTGAAAAATAATACGCAATTTTCTATTAGTATCAAATTTTTGTGTTCTTTCAGAATTTATGCTAAGAATTTTTCTATGAATTGATTTTTGAGCTATAGCTAAATTTTGAGAGCACTCAAAAAGAATTTTCTGAAGAGGCAAAAATTTTTTTTTTTGAAGACGAGTCTCAATCAAATGAGTTTTGTGAATATTTAGTACTTAAGGGAGATTTGTACTGTACAAAATGATGTGAGAATGGAGAGTTTTAGTTGATCCGTTAAAGATGGCAGAGTAATGACGGAGGGTTATTTTGAGTAAAAAAAAAGCAAAAACTAATAAAATAGGCATTTTTTTGGCGATAGACTATATAAAAACCTTTACTACATCTCAATAGTGTACAAAAATTTTTATTCAAATATACTGTTTGGTAGAGAATTATTTTTCATATCTTTCATGATATTCGATAAAATTTTGTAGCATGTTTGGAACAAGTTCTATTTAAGGTATTTTCATTTAGAAACAAAGTTTTGAATGTTTTCAAGATTTACTTATAGCTCAATAGTCAAAAGACACAGAACAAATCTAAGCATATATTCTGAAAGAGTACAACATTTTAATTATAATACTCTTCATTTTTTTTGCAATGCATTTGAATGCGCAAAAAATAGGCAAATATTTTCTATAGAAAATTTCGGCACATCCTTTATTTCTCTGAGACTTGGAGGTGTATATATATAGTTTTTCTCTCTTAATTATTCTACCGAAAAAATATTCTTATTTAATACATACCATTACATGCAACATCTTCAATAAGCCATAATAATGTATACATTTGTCCATCAATCATTGAAAGAAAAGGTACCATTCGAACATTTGCTTGATCAGAATGTTCAATAGCCGAACCAAATTCATCTCGAATATACCAATAAGGTTCACGGTCTTCAGCATTACCTCCATCCATGGCTAATGTATATGTATGATTAAATTTCCACATATGTTCAATAATAGCATTAATTTTGTTGTCTTCATCGGGTGTTATCAACATCAATCGAGAAAGTCGTTCGACTAATTCTGGTAATTGTTCAAGTTCATTTCGAATATTATTTATTCGATAAGTATATGCATGATCAATAAGAAAGATCCTTCAATAAAAACAAAAAATAACAAAAAATAAAACATTTCAACAATAGATGGTGTTTTAACTAACATTGTAGGATCATCCTTGAGTAGATTATGTTCACTAGTTACACGTACTTTACGTTGAATAGTTTCACCTTCATCATTTTCTACTTCAATTATACCAAAATATTCACCAGCATCAAAAATCTATTTTCATATAAATTAGATTTAGTCATACATGTTTTTCTTATTATTTATTGACCTGCTTTTGAAGTTTATCAAATAGAATAGGATAGAATAATGGAGGCACACCAGATAATTCAAGTTGTGATCTATGTAGATCAACGAAACTATTTAGTAAAGTTCCACTAAATAGTACGTTGCCATGTTCTACATGATTATATGCCATATCCATCTGAAACAAATACGACATAGATCAAAGAAACATTTGCATACAAAACAAAAGTACTTATCTTCTATTTACTCCTGTTTACTATCAAACTTTTAAAAGATCAGTAACTACTACATAGATGTAATAACTTTTTTAATTCATGAATCAACATGAAAACTATGTTAAATATGAGGTGACAGTTATTGACAGTGAAAATATAACCTATTTATTGATTAATTCTTTTGCATAGAATATATGATAAATAATTTCTATTAGTCAATAGAATACGTTCAATTTTCTAGAAGTACATTTTATAGCAGAAAAAAAGAAGTCAATATTTTCTAGAGTGGATTGCATGTGCCAATAATAACTTTGACAAGACAATATTCTTTAGCGATGGTTTTTTGGTAAAAGAATAACACTCATTAAAAATGCTATTGTAAAACCCATTCCATAATAAATATGTCCATCGATGTGTCTTTTTATATCACTCCATAACCACTCTAATTCTTGATTTAAATCATCACGTGGTTCACGCAATTCTCTTTGTATATTTCGTTGTAAATCATTAAATCTTGCTCTAATATCTCTTCGAGGTATTATTTGATCGTAAGTCAAATGTGTTATATGTGCTTTTGAATAATTCATATGATATGCAATATCAAGTAAACCAATGGAAGTAAATGCTATACATGAAAGAACACGTTGACCTTTACTTATAAATATGCCAATAGCACCACCGGTTAATATTCCAGAACATAATTGTTTGATAACTGATTCAGTTGAACCTTGAGATGACATTGAAAATCTAGAAATTTAAAGTAGTAACATTCTTGTTTTTTTATTTTCTCACCAATAAGAATATGTTAGTTTGACAGACAAAAGTCTGAATGAAAAAAGAAAATAGACAAAAACACAAACGAGATAATGAAACATATTGTGACAAAATTTTAGATTAAATACAAAAGAAATATTACATAAATATAAAAAAATGTTATGTCGTTGATGTGGTAGGTAAAACACCACCATCCCAAACTGTTTGTTGTTCTTCTTTGTCACGAATTTTTTGTTCTATAACAACAAAAAGATTAACATATAAAGGCTTTTTGGAAAAGAGAAACCAAAATAATTTGTTAATTTACTTCTAGCTGTTTCAATTTTTTGTCGTTCAGTTTTAGTTTTATCACTACTCATCGGATTTTTCAGACCTAATGCAGCACATATGCGACGATTAGCTGTTAACGATGATGTTTGTGGTCGAGTTTTATACGGTTGAAGAAATTCTGTATCATCAGAAGAAAAATTATATTAATTAAAAGAGAAGCAAAATAATATATGATATACCAAGTGAATTTTTTGCTTTTTTCTTTGATGCAGATGATGCTTGAGACATCGAACAAACTTTTAACATAGGATATTCCATTTGAAGCGCATCCAAAGCTAAATTATCATTACTATTTATTCAGAAATACAGTAGTAGAGAACAACCTTCATTTCCACTGATCTCAACCACTGTATGTACTGAAAGTCTGAAACTTTGGCTATATGCACTTCATCAAGAATGTAGGTCATTTGCATTACAGTGCTGTTATTGCTTAATTGCAAAAGGAGTTATGATAGATGATGACTATTCTTATTGTCACCATTACAACTTTGAAAAGGAAAAGTATTTTTTGTCAGTCAGTTCCTCAATATGTAATGTTATGTACCTGCTATCTGCATCACTAATTTTATTGAAGTTCATCAATCCTTTTAAAGACAATGCTCATTGTTATGGAGAGAAAACATCTACTGCCTTTTGGATGTAAATAAATCAATGATAGTTCAATCAAACGAATTTAACATTTTTGAGAAACTTACTCTACAGTTAGGCATTATTGTATACAAGTTTCAGAAGCGAATCTTGTACTAAGGATAAATGGAACATAGATAATAACTTTACCGGTTTCAATGATTTAGAAATATGAAGATTTGAGTAAATAAACTTATCTTTTGACTAAGCAAGACCGCAGACGGTATTTCAACTGCATGTAAAAATATCAGGAATTAGTCATATTTTTAGTAAGAAACATCGCGAAATGTTGTAGGTAGTCTTCTATTTTAGGTTCTAATGCTCAAATCAAAAGAATTCGATGTCGTACATCATAACACTCCTTGTAACTAAGCAATAACGATATTACAATGCCAATGATCTATATTGTTGGTGAAGAACGTATATATAATGTTTCAGACTTCCAGTACAAACAGTAATCAAAATCGGTCGGAACGGAAACTATTATCCATTTATGTAAATGAAACACTTAGGTCTTTATTTACCCATATTAGCATCTGGAAAAACGATCAAAGCATGCGTTTCATCGACCCATTTTATATCGAATGTACTTCGACTATTTTAATTATAAATGAAATAAGATATATATTTCAATTATAGTATATAATAATTCATACGTCAGCGTTTTGAATGCATTTGAAAGATCTTCAGTACGAAATGTTGATGGAAAATTTGATACTTCAACTACATGTGCTAAATCAGCTTCTTTTATTTGTATATCATCGATTGACCATTGAGAATAGTCATTCGTTGGTTTTTTTATCTGAACATTTTCTTTGAATTTTGTTTGAATCTTAAAAACAAAACAAAACAAAACAAAACATTTTTTTTTAAATTAAAGGAAAAGAATGTATTGAAGTTTTACTTCTTCAACAAGGTCATTATATTGAGGATTTTCATTACTATCTAATATTTTCTCCCATTCCTCTTCTTCTTCCATCTCACCATCTTCTTTTTTGTTTTCAGTAGTAAATGTTACAGACAAAGATGAAGGTGGAGGCGGTTCTTTGGTCACCGGTTGACTGCGTCTGGACGGCGGAACATATGGTTCAGCTGATGGCCGAGCGGTTTTACTTTTCGTCGATTTAGGTGTACTATTGTTTTGTTGAACTTCTTCGAGTGATGTCGTCGTCGATGGTGGTGGTGTGGGTGTAGATGTAGAACTAGAAACCTCAGAATTTTTACTTCGACGTGGTGGCTTATATAAAGCTTGATCTGGACGACGTCTAGAATAATAGAAAACTTTTTATTATTCAAACCTAAGACAAACACATACTTGGTCGTAGATTCATCGTTCGAATTGACCAAGATTGTGGGTGATGCTGTTCTGAAACAATGAAAAAAAATAATATTACTGATGAATGGAAGATGTTTAAAAAATCTTTGGCGCAAAATACATTCAAATTCTCTTTCCTTAGAAGCAATGTGAACTAGAAATACTTTTTTGCCTAAAATATAGCATACTATATCAAAACATATTCATGTTTTAATACCGAGTTTAAAGAATTCGAAATATCTTTTCCAAACTTAATTCCATCACACGGATGTATTTACCTAATTACAGTATTCAGGAGAATATAAATAAAAAAGATGATTGGATCAAATAGATGGTTTACTTTTTTGTACGATCATCTATATTATCTCGAACGAAGCGTTTTTATCACAAGACACAAAATTACAGAATAAATCATTTCCCTAATTTATTGACTTATGAAGGCATATTTACAGCTGAAACCTCAATAGCTAAAGAAGATCAAACAATTGAGAATTGCCAATCGATCAACTTTTTAATTCAGGAATTATCTTTTAAAATAAATGAAAGTGAAAACTTTCAAAACTCGAAATTTATACTTAACAGATTGATTTCTGACAAAAGATAAACATACATAGAAAAAGGGTAGTTATACACCACCCACGTCTGCTTTCTTTAGCGCATAAGTTTAGCAACAGGTCGTAACAAAATAGTTATGTAGAAAACTCGTGTTGCTTGACGTTGACATTTACTCGAATACATATAATAAGCATACGCTGTAAGTGATTCCGGCAGTTTCAAGCAATGATTAAGCTCATGACGCATAAATACTTCGTCGATAACCAAAGTGTTAACTTATTTTTTTTATTTTGCCTGTGATGAAATACACAGTTCAAAATGATTGCAGTACGCAATAGTCTGAGAAAAAATCTACAATGCATAATCTAATTTCTCATTCCATATATTCATAAGTATGTTCTTTCTTCACTTAGGTCTCTTCATTATTGCAAAGTTCAGGATGCAACTTCGCATTCTTCCTACTTAAAGAGTTAATTATGTATATATTTAATTACAATATTTAAAATATAAGTTGAAAATTCAAAAGATTCGTACTGGTCTATTTTAAATTCTTAAATTTAAAGACTGACTGATATCACTAAAGTCAATTTTCTTCTTCGCAGAATTAAACAACTATTTAAACATTCTTACACATTCGTTTCATCCATAACTTGTGATTTCAAACAAATTATTGTTCGACGAGCAGCTTTTTCGTCGCCGACAGAGAAACTGAATAGATTAGAATAATTTTTATCACGAAGACGATGTAATAATAATCGATGTCGTGATGATAAAGGTGGAAAAAGAAGAATACTGCAAAAAGAAATAAACAATAATTAAATTTTAATAATCTAATTAAATAATATCAAAAGTAAAAATGAAGAACACACACAAGGAAGAATCATTCGATAGATTGTATTTGTCTAATTCATCTGTAATTAAATCAAGATATTTGTCATCATCAGATGTCAAAAAACAACCATACATTTTTCGTGTCTTCTATAATTAATATCTAAAAAATTGAGATTTATTTATTTTATTTTTTGTTTATTTCATAAGAATTGATTTGTATTTTATTCTTACATAAAAACAAAAAGATAAACCTAGCAATACATAAAACTATGTTTTTTTTTTGTTTACAAAAGCATCTCGCCACAATTCATCAATGCACAATATAAAAACAAAGTAAAAGTAAAAGATCTTGTTTTCTAATAAGAGAAAAAGAAAACGAGCTCGAATAGTTCTTTTTTTGATTTTCATTTCATTTAACTGTTCATCTTACAATCTGACTTGCATACACAGACGAAAAATCAAAAAAAACGCAAAAGTTTAGTTTTTCTTACTGCCTATTCATTTTCTTCGTTTAGCTAAGCAAAATTAATG